ACAGCGTTGAGCCTTTGCAGGGGAGGCTGGGCACAAAGCACATGAAGAGTAAGACCTTAGCATTTAAAACCTTATGCTGGCAGAAGAGTTGGGGATGGGCTGGCTCCCACCATGCTTTGCTGCACAGGACACCTTCCTGGGAGGGCAGCAATGTATTGGTTGTGGGTCCCCTCTTTGGGTAAGGAAAGCTCAGTGCTGACAGTACATACACCTGAGAACCAGAAAATAGGAATTGTTGTTCTCCACTACCTCTTTCCTATCTCTGACACATCGTCTGTAGTACATAGTTTTAGCACAGTATTACCACATGCATCTGTCTGGAGCTATGTAACGGGTGTGCTGTACCAAAAGAGAGATTTGCGGTTTCCCCTGGCAGGTTAGAGCACAGATGTACCATTAGAAAAACTCTCCCTGAACTCACCTGACCAGATTTTGTTGCCGGTCATATGCATTTGGAGAAATGCCATAGCCTTCAGTACTGTCCCTTAGATTGTATACAAGCAATGGTGGGGAATCAGACCCTTCTTTTTATCTAAGGAGCCAGAGGCAATTGCAGTCCGAGAATTTTAAAGGAGAGAACTGAAATCAAAGGATTTGTTTTGTTTTATGTTAGAGACAGACATTAAGGTTTTGAATTTGTTATATCTGGCCATCAAAAGCAGTCAGTTTACCATGGCTAATTTTAGAGAACTAAAATATAAAACAAAATCACTTGAAACCAGACCCAACTTTCATCCTTTCCCAGCTAATGTGTTTGTAAACAATACAGTGTTACAAAACATACTTTTAATTGTGTGTTACTGTTTCCCCTGTCAGGATGAGCGAACACTTGTACCCATGGGGAGCAGCGTTCCACGAAATGTTTGGAGATCAGCTGCAAACTGCGGAAAGAGGTCCAGATGGTTCCCTGATGTCCACGCAGTCCTGATAACTCGGCACTCTTTCTCCCCTGTGGCCAGGGAACATCTTCCTTAGTCTTCTGCTCCTTCTCCTAGTGCTGGCTGGCAGGCTACAAACCAAGTGTCCCCTTCCAGTTCACCCTGTTTGCTGAAACACTGGTAAGTCCACTCAGGCCAAGCGCTGCCAGAAGTCCTCTTCTGTCTGCTCACCCCTACTGTACTCCTTCCTGGGGACAAACACAGGCACTTAAAGGGCTTCAGTTGCCTGCTGCTACTGTGGGTTGCTATGTTGTACAGCCCCAGCTCAGGAAACAGCATCTGTAGAAGAGTGCAACTGAAATCCTGTCAGATGTTTTTGGCAAAGAAGCAAAGGGGAAGACTTGGTTTGAGCGTGGGAGGTTTAAAGCTTCTGTGCTGGTTTCCAAAGTCTCTCCAGGACCAGAGTGCTCAAACAGGAGTCTTATGTGGGTTGTATAAGCTTGGGTCTGCACCAGGTCACAGCAGTGAGTGGTGGGAAGATGGAAAGGGCTTCAGCTGTGGGCATGTGTGCTCCTTATCTCACCCTGGGCTCGTTATTTTCTGATGAGAGGTGGAATGTTCAGCCCCTCTCCTTTTCTCTTTTTGCAATTGCTTTGCCCACTGCTAATTTACATTTTAGGCATGAAAGAAATCTTTGTGTTCAAATGAAAAACATAAAGCTTCACTGTAGAGGCGATTAAAAATGAACAGACAAAAGATTATAATATACTGAACAATATTCAAATGTGTTTTAACTTTTCTAGAAAAATATGTCTGCAAATCTGTGTGACATTGCAGAGATTAGTCTAGAGGGATTTGATCTGTCAAACAGAACAATACAATGGCTTTTGATCTTTACTGAAGTGATGAGAGAATGGAAATTTATAAAAAAGAAGAAAAGCAGAACAGAAGGTAGAAATTGTGGAGAATATACCAGGAATTTCTGGAACATTTTACAGTTCAAAAATATGCACATGTGGGTTGTGAACTGCTTCATAATAGTTGTAGGACCTGCCTCCAAAAGTCTGTTAGAAATCCCAGCAGGCCAGGGCACTCATGCCTCTTCAGACCAGACTCTGACAATAGAGCAAACCTATCAGAAAGTTCACCAGGAGTGTTTTGTAGACATAGTGGCCACACAATGCAGAGCACTGGTGCCATAGGTATCATTCAAGTCTCTCCAGATATGGTTCAAATGTCCAAAGACTGTCTGAGGTTGAAATGGCAATGACAAATTGTGTGCCAGATATTACCTGTGCCTCAGGTACTATGACTAACTTGATAGAAATGCGGTCTTCTGCCCAGATCCAGTCCAGATCAAACTTGTACTCCTGAGTGCTCTGCTGGTGAAGAGAACCAGAGCCTGCATCTGTGAAAGCCTGGTAAGAGACTCTGTTTTACTTCTCTCCTCTCAGTATTGAATATCCTAGTTTTATGTCACATACAACAGATGGTGGAATAGAAAGATAGAGCTAATGGTTCCCTATTTGTCACCTGAACCAGATATGGTTCAAATGTCCAAAGACTGTCTGAGGTTGAAATGGCAATGACAAATTGTGTGCCAGATATTACCTGTGCCTCAGGTACTATGACTAACTTGATAGAAATGCGGTCTTCTGCCCAGATCCAGTCCAGATCAAACTTGTACTCCTGAGTGCTCTGCTGGTGAAGAGAACCAGAGCCTGCGTCTGTGAAAGCCTGGTAAGAGACTCTGTTTTACTTCTCTCCTCTCAGTATTGAATATCCTAGTTTTATGTCACATACAACAGATGGTGGAATAGAAAGATAGAGCTAATGGTTCCCTATCTGTCACCTGAAAGTTGTCTATTTGGCCTAGGGGGAAGTTTTTTTAAAGATACTCTTCCTGCTTTTCTTAAGACCAAAGAAAGTTGTCTATTTGGCCTAGGGGGAAGTTTCTCAAAGATACTCTTCCTGCTTTTCCTAAGACCAAACTACACTACAGAGAAAGGATTTACTAAAACACAAACAAAAAAGAAGTGGGGGATGAGGGGGAGCCACTGGGATGGGGTAACTTTCTCTTGAAATATTGCAATTGGCTTGTGTTATGATTGGACTCTGTCATGGAAAATTAGCCCTGAAGAGGACCTTAAGAGATCATTAAACCATCTTTCCCTCTGAAGGCAAGTACAACTATATCAACATCATCCCTGACAGATGTGTGTCCAGCTCCTCCTTAAAGGCATCCAGAGATGGAGGCTCTAAGTTGGGACCTCAAAGATTAAATAAGCATTAACAAGCTATAGCAATGAGCAGCTGTGATCACTACAATTAAACCTGTATTCTAAGGAGATGGAAAAATTAATCATCATTTAAAAGTATCAGTGTGTAGGCTAATTAACCAAGTCACAAAGCTAATTCAAAATGAGGCTCTGGAGAAAGGTGAGACAGTAAATATCCTGGTCTTGCTTTTCTTTTTTTTTTTTTTTTTCTTTTTCTCCTTTCAGAATTGAGCTTCCTTTTTTTTTTTCTCCTTTCAAAATTGAGCTCCCTGTTTTTATGATACTGATTTGACTAAAGAGGTGTAAACATCTTAATACCTTTTAGTAGTGAGGAAGGAGGGAGGAATGCAGTCAGAATTGAAGACATTCAGTGTGGTTTTATCCGTGAATTACCTTCTGCCTTCATTTCACTTACCTGCCTTGACTTAGGAGCCACTAAGCTCCCCTCTATGGGTTTGCAAAAAGGTGCTGCTGAAAATCTGTATTTATTACTAATTTGAGTTTATCTGGTTTAAATATCTGGCCAAATGTTTTTGTCTCTTTTGTGCTTACTATGGCATTCTTTTAGCACCCTTTCTCTCCAAAATTTCATTTCACTTACCTGCCTTGACTTAGGAGCTGCTAAGCTCCCCTCTATGGGTTTGCACAAAAGTGCTGCTGAAAATCTCTATTTATTACTAGAGTTTATCTGGTTTAAATATCTGGTCAAATGGTTTTGTCTCTTTTGTGCTTACTATGGCCTTCTTTTAGCACCCTTTCTCTCCAAAATCGCTGAGGGATGTATGGGAAAAATTATTTGTGAACTGTAGTCTTGACTTCAGAATTGGGTCATGAGTTATTGTCTGAGAACTTGGTCCTTAAAACTAAACTGTCAGCAGGAATCATTGAAATTGCTAGAAAATATGCTATTAAAAAATTCGGTTTGTTTTCACCTGGACAACTTCTTATCAAGCTCTGCAGGGATTTGATTCCAAGTCCAGTGCAGCCGAAGAAGACCACTGTTTGTTCTTCAGCAAGGCTGGGATTTGGGCTTGCTTTACAGCACAGACTTAATTCTGTCACACACCTTCATCTCGCTCTGATATTTCGCTCCAGAACCAAGGTAGTTAAGGCTACAGGGTTTTGAGCTGAGTGCATCCTTCATAGATATAAATCCCTTTTCTAAAATGGGAAAATGAGAAGTATATAGTGACTGACAGCTCAATCTGAGCTTTGCATCTAAGCAAAACCCCAGTCCATGCACGAGGCAGGAAGTGAATTGCAGAGCTTCAGAAATAGCACAGAAACCTACATTCTGCTTGCAAATGCACCATTCATAGCTCCCACAGGGGCTGTAGCTCAGCCCCCTGCAACAAAGGCAGCAATCCGGGCATGGAATAACACGTAAAAATCTATGTTATGATATACACTCACAATAAGGCTGCCTTACGGCAGGTAGGAAATCTTCTAATTGCTCGGAGTATGTGTTGGAAAGTTGCCTTAATGCGGAGAGTTTGCATAGAAATGGAGCTGAGCATGGCAGAGTAGGACATGAAGGTTCAATCTGGTCCCATGAAGCTGCATTTAGATCAGGCTTGGTGCACGCTAAAGGAAGGTGAGCCAAAATCCAGCACCTTTGGCTGATCATGGGAAGTGAGACCTGGCATTTGTGGCTAATGAAAGCTGTCAAAGTAGCTCTGGGCAGCTGAGCTCCATCCAACAATCAGGCATCTTTGCTTTGGTTTTGTTTCTCGCACAATGGGACTGGGTTTAAATCACAGTAGGTCTGTGGAGTGAAATCTGACTCTCTTAAAATGACTGGGAATGAATCAGGCATCTTTGCTTTGGTTTTGTTTCTCGCACAATGGGACGCAGTTTAAATCACAGTAGGTCTGTGGAATGAAATCTGACTCTCTTAAAATGACTGGAAAAGGGCTCCCAGCTCCCAGAGTTGTCACTTCCTTTCTTTGCAGAATTCTGTCATTTCTCAGGCAATAATGTGGGCAAGAATGCACATGTACACGTGATGCATAAATAAATGCCTGCCTGCAGATTACTCTGGTAGTGGTGGCATCACAGGATGGGACAGGGCGTGGAAAGGGTCAAGGTGAAAACAAAACCAGCTGTCAAATCCTGCTCTTCCCACGCCAGGTCATGAATAAGATCAGGGGTTGGATTGTGTCCTGCCTGGTGAGGGAATTGAGGTGGAGGGCCGGCTGCAGCTGTGGGAGGCCTGCTGGCATCATGTGGGTGAGCATAAGCACAGCCTCCCTGCACAGGATCCAGAGTGTCCCCAGAATATCATGCAGGGTGCAGTCTACCACACGAGAGTGTCATCCTGGTTCAACGTGTTGCCTTTAGGGATCAGTAGGAAGACAGAGGCCAAGTGCCCTTCCGGGGGCTCTTGATGGTGGGAAAGGATTGAAGGAAGCCATGTCCTAATTCTGTCTGTGTGGCATAGGCTGGTTTTTTTGCACCTCTGACGTAGTTTGCTGCATCAACAGGCTGCTGAATCCACCAGCATCTACCCAGAGAGTGTTAAGACCACAGAGGATTGAGTTGGTTTTTTTTGGATGGCATGAGTTTCTAGCACTTATTGAAAACTTGCAGATGAAATCTTAAAAATCCTGAAATGTCTAGAGAAGCAGTGAGAAATAAAACATGCAGGCACTTTTGTGCAGTGGTATTCATCATGGTTAATGCAGTTCATAGTAAATGCTTGTGCGTCTGTGTGTGAATAAATACACACGTCTGTCTGTTGAGCAGTTTCTTTCTCTTCTAGGAGCTTTTCTTATTAAAATGAAGAAAATATGAAGTTTCATATCACCTGTATTTGCAATCCCATTGTAAAAGAAAAGTTTTGGGCTAGCTTCTGCTAGTGCATCTCAAGAACAAATATCTGAATCAGGTTTATTCAGATACACTAAACGTACTGGGTTGCAATGATGGAAATTATAAAACCTTTTGAAATGTCATTTTTTATTTGCCTGAATGCAAAATAAACAAGCTCTTATTCATTCCTAGCTCAAAGAATAGTAATCGGGAGATTGTTTTAAATGCTGGAAAACACCCATAGGAGATACAAAATGGCGGAACAGAATTGTCAGCTTTCCCAAATGATTAATCCTGGATTTTAAACTAGACAAACGAAATTTCATCTCAAACAATAATTTTCAGAAAATCATGACTAAATGAGAGGACAGCTTTCCATTGGCCCAGTTGAGTTTATTTTCATCTCTGCTGCATGGTATCCTTTTCCGTGATTAATCCTGTGAGAGAATTCCATGTGAAGCAGGTTATGGGAAAGCAGTCTAGTGGAAGTAAGTTTGCAACTTTAAAAACACAGCCATTCTCAGGATGCTCAGGTTGGCTATTCAGAGTGAAGGGAAGGAGATAAGCACAAGATGCTTGAGGGCTGGACATCCACCCCCCATCAGTACCTCCCTGCTGCTGTGCATGCAATGGTAAAGCTATAGGTTTGGGGGGATGGTGGTGCTGCTACCACCCTTGCTTTGGTAGAGCCATGCAAGGATGTGTCTACAGCTCAGGCTACAAAGGGGAATAACTTGCTGTCGGCCATTTCCATCAGTAGGAGAAGTTTTGTACTACTTTTCTTACTGTGCATAACAGTTTTCTCTGCCAACAGCTTCATTGATCAAGGTATAAAAGAAGGTAGGGAGGTGATATTTGCTGTCCTCTCCGCAGAGAGAGGAATGCTGGTTCTGCAACCTCATGAATGAAGGAAAAATATGAAATCTCCTTGCTCTCCTTCTGCAGAGTAGCCATTAACCTCTCTGATGGGGAAGGAGGTAGCTTTTTAAAACTCCATGCCTGGGGGATTACACATGCAATGACTTTTTATGTCAGCATTGATGTTTCTGAGTAAGTATGTACCCTCCTGAAAACATAACCCAGGCAGGCAGAGGTTCTGACTGCAGATTTATCCCAAGGGGATGGAGGAGAACAGGGGATACAAAATAAAGGCCCAAACCAGTCCTGTTTATGATAAAGGAATATCTACATGTTTTTATTTGTACGTGTGAATTTCAAGGAATATATATAATGTTATTCAATGTGAAAAATAAAAGGCTATTCGCCAATGTTTTAATATTATGCCTTAACAAAATGACACTTTCCAGAACCAGTCATGACTTTAAGCCAGATCATGACTAAAAATATTAAGGGAAGGATCACCACAGCAACAATCACATTGCTCCCCTTCTGCAGAGGAAGTGGAAAAACACTCAAACTTTGCCAACCTGAATAAATTATCCAGATTATCAGAACTGTAAGGAAAGCTGTATGTAATCAGCTTTCTGTATGTGCCTGTGAGTGTGTGCACATGTGTTAACTGGATTGCAGCCTGTTAAATATGTATGTCAAAGGGAACAGCTCTGAAAATATGCTCAAGAGAAAAAATCGCCATTGTTGTACCTTAATTGGCCCGCAGATACCATGCACAGTGTGGTGCTACACAGCAGCACTGGGGGACTCCAGTCCAGCTGCTGGGCTGGACTGGGCTGTCCTGCTTGTGGTGCTGGGAGGTGGAGTAGGGGACACCGGTGCTCCCTTGGTCTTGTTCCAGTATGAAGCTGGGAAATAGCTGGTTTATTCAGCTAGGATTTGGAGCAAAGGCACACTCGTACTCTGGTCTGGCAGTTGGTTTTATGTGTTGGGAGCGGTTTGCTTTGCCAAAGAGAATGTTTTTGTCTGGGGAGGGAAGGGCAAGGATGCAAGGGTTGGGGGCAGAAGCAATATTGTCACTGCTTGACTTTAAGCACCTTTTGCAGGAGTCTGCACTGGAAGCCTTCTCTTACCAGGCTGCCCATATGGTCAGTGGAGAGAGGCTGGTTTTTCTAGAGGCAATCCAAGGGAAGGACGTGACAGAATAGTGGTAATGATGTCAAGATCTTTGGCAATTTCAGGGTGCATCACAGACTCCAAAATTATGTTAAGGAAGTCCAAAAACATGTGGCTTTTGAGCACAGGAAGACAAGGTTAGGCTTGGAGTGCCAAGGGTGTATGTTTCTATTCCTGCTTCTCCTGTCATTAGAAAGAGCACTTGTTTAGCTGTTTGCTAGTTCCATACTAAACCCTGGATTGTTGGATGGCCAGCAGGCTGCCGTCATTTTCTGACTTGAATTTATAGCTAGAAACATCCCTCAGTTTTTCTGGGATCACACTTTTTAAATAAACAGCGCATGATTGGTTTGTCTTTAGCATTTTATACCTTTCAGGCTCATAGATGCTTTTACAAAGGAGGTGCATGCGCCTGCTGAACAAAATAAGCCAACTGATATCAGACTCGGTTTTCTGTATTATTTTTTTTCATCACACAGGCCAGTGCACACCTGGGCTCGGCTAGATGACCTAAGTAACACCAGATGTATTGTGGCCCCATTTGGAGTACCTACCAAGTGATGGATCCTGTATATACTGTAATGTTGGTGCAGAACTGAATTCCAGTAATGACCCATAGCTGACGGTAATGTGGCTGGAAAAGAGTTAAGATAGCTGCTGCCAGAAGCATAAGGGGCTTTCTTCTGACTTGCAGTACATGCTGCTCAGGGCCCTCAGGTGCCAGTGGCGAGGGGAACATGAACCAGCAGGAGGTTTAAGTTTGATTGCGGCTGAAGAGCCTCTATGGCTTTCACTGCCATTACCTCCAGCTTGCTGTAAAGAGCAGTTTACGGCAAAATTGGTTACTCTGCAATATTCTACTTTTCATTCTTTAAAATGTAAATTTTAAAATTTTCTTACCAATTAATTTTAAGAACCCCATGGGTTCATCCACTCCTTGCTCTCTTTTCTGTCCTTTGCTGTCTGCCACTTTGCTGTGCCTACTGTGGCTCCAAGGCTGGCAGCCTGCTGAACTGCAGAGCCTTGCCACATGGCATGTGCTTTTGGGCAGGATTTTGTGCTGGCTGGCAGTGACACCAAACCATTGCAGTGGGGAAAAGCTAACAGCAGCAGCTGGAGTTAATGAATCCTACATTACCCTGGAACAGAGATGGGAATCCCAGAGCTCAGGGGGTTTTCATGGAGGTCTGCTGATGTGTGAGTGACTGGAGGAGATGAAAGCGCATCTGGATGGGCTAAGGAATACATATGCACTAGAATTTTTTTGGCATTATATTTAATTCAGTGCTTGCGCATTAAGGTTTTTTTCCCCTTATCTTTTTAAGGTTCACTTGTTTTTCTGGGTAAGGAAAGATATGAGTGGTGCATATGGTTAGGTGAATGTCTACTATGATTCTGTTATTGTGTGCTGGACCTTTAAAAATAAAGTGTTCCCCAGGCTGTAGTCTTGGAGAGATTGCTATGCATCAATGCAAGATGGTCCTTACAGTGAGTTACATGCTTGTTTTTCTCTCATGTAGTTGTTATTTCTCTCCTTGCTTGTTTGATTTAATTTGAAACAAAAGCCATTCTGGTTGTAGGAAACTTTGATTTAGATGTTCAGAAAATGGAACAGGATTAGGTCTGTGGAAAAGATCACTGAGGAAATCCTACAAGAACGGCACATTACTTCACCCACCATCCCACCAAAGCCAGGTCTGGTCAGGGCATCTCATCTGTACAGCCCCAATCTGCCTTTTAGGAGGACAGATTCTGAAGTAGATGATAATCTAGGTTAGTTTTGTTTCAACTTCAAAGTCCCTCCGTCCAAACTAAGGTCCCTATATTATAACCCACACTCTGGTCTACAAAGCTGAACGGGTTCCTAGCTGCAAAACTCATGTCTGGGTTCCTGATAATGAGATAATATCTAAGAAACCACCAGTTTCTTTCATCCAGATATACTAGATAAAAGTCTCAAATATCAAGGATATATCTAGACCAGCTGTGGGTCAGATGCTTCTACTGCGTGTGTATTTTTGTCACAGAATCAGCTCACTTGCATTACTATTTGGGAATTAGAGACTCAGCAGCCTCTGAGCTGAACGTGGCCTCACAGAGTGCCTTCTTGGGGGGCTCTCTGTTGTACCTTACTGTCAAATGTGATGGGAAATCGATGATGAACAGGAGATCCCTAATCACCATGGATACTTGTCTCTGCATGGTGTCAAAATCTGAGTTGGCTGTTTATTTTATCATATTTTTCATATGACTAATTTACTTTAGGAAGAGGAGGGGAAAGGAGGAGGCTATTTGGGGCTGAAATAAAAAATGAGAGAAGGGAAATTTGGCAGTGACTCTCAGATGGAGCTGCTAGGAGGTGCCCAGAAATCTGTCCCATATCTGCATCCCCTGAGCTTGTTGTCCACTCTCATGCTTTGTTCTGTGCTCGCAGCAGGATCTCGGGGGAACACAGCTGCTGCAGCTGCTTGTAGACCAAAAGGTGACCTTTTGAGTAGCCAAAGAATGATGCATTATTTAGTGCATTCCTGGCTAAAATGGAAATGAAATGATTTCGTGAGCAGAATGCTTTGTTTGTCCTTTCACTTGGATGCATTCTCTTTGCACCACACAACAGTGTGGTGTACGCACCACTCCTCGTGGTTTCTTCTGGGTAAAGCTTTGATAAGACAGGTACTGCACTTTGAAAACACTGATGGTTAACCAGAGAGACCCTACTAGCCAAATGTAATAAATCTCAGTTTAGAGGCACTAAGTTTTCAGAAAATAACTTATATTTAAATAATGCGTAGGAGTGAAAGCTTCCTGGTGAAGTGTATGTCTCTAGACTATCAGCTGATACTGCTAAGTATCATAACCAGCTGTTATTTCAACATGAAGTATTTTAATCCTTTCAATTAATCAAGAGTCTCTTGGAAGGTGCCATAGCAGGACATTAATTATGGGGATGTTTAACGAATAGAGTATTTGTCATTCACATAGACAGACTTTTCAGCAACTGCCACCCAGTGATATCTGATAGCCAGCTACTTAGGCACTCTGCTTGTCATTGGGCAAAGGAGAGAAGGCAGATGGGAACAATTTTTCACAATGTCTAACTTTATATTTCCTATGTGGTCTTCCAGACAGAGATTCAAAGAACCTGAGGCTGGAGCCTACCTCTCCTGCGGACTGTGAATGAAGACTGCAGTATACTTTGCTGCAAGTCCATCTGCTCTTGAACTTTATAAATACCTTTAAAAAGATCTATCTAACAGTGTTTTTCCTTTGAAGTTTCCAACACCATTTCTGAAGGCTTCAAAGTGGTGTTATTCACATGTTTCAGATGAAGAGAGCTGAATTGTCAAGGTAACAACTGGTTTGAGAATGACCAGTTTTCTCCCAGAGATGAGCATGTGGAAGGACCTGGGGGAAGACCCAGTGCTTCCCAGGGATTTCACCGAGCTCAACAAGCCCTGAAATGTAGGGAGGAAAAGAAATCTGCACAAAGGAAGAGGTACCCAGCAGACCATGCTATCTCATTGGACAACTCAGTGATAAAATTTCTTCATAAAATGCTAAGTGTCTGCTTCTATGGTATTATTTTTATTAGTAAAAGATTAGACGGTGTAAGGCAAGTAAACAGGGATTCTGTAAATGAATGCAGTGTTTAAGTTGCTTGGTACTGTCTTAATTGTTACAACAAACAGCACAAGATGACAAAAAATGACCACCTTTCTACTAAGAAGATAACTGCCTTTAAAAAGAAAGGAATGAAACTCAGCTCTATGATTTCTAGGATCCTAATTAATTCAAACAGACACAACTAGAGAAGTGTAAACACCTGAGCAGCTTTCAGCCATTCCTCTGGCGTGTTCGTACTTCGAGTCCTTATTTCTAACCTCAGTGTCTGCTCATCCTTTTGCAGCACCCTTCAAACCAGCCTCCCCCAAAAGATCCAGCAGACATGGTCTGAGAGAAGAGCTGAGCAGAAGCTGGTAAGCATTCACTGCAGGGAGTTCTAAGTGCTGTGGGATTTAGTCAAACAGCAAAGAACAAGCTTCTACTATGACTCATCTGGTGTAGAACTAGTGCTAAGTATTGTACATAATTAAGACAACATTATTACAGTGAGATAGCACTTCTTTTTTTGGCATGGTTAAAGTCTTGAAAAGGTGTAATGTTTTCAGCTTTGAGAGCTGTGAAGAAGATGAAGACTTCTGATGGGAGTTCATTCTAAAAGATATCATGGCTACAGTGAATTTAGATCATAACTTGCGTTATTCCTGAAGCGCTGCGTGTATATTTCAGTTGCCTTCATGAAAGGCTGTGATTTTTTGTGAGAATAAACACAACCTTAGATTAGATAAGGCTTGCAACAATGGCCTTTGTAGACATTCCAAGGTTTGCTGATTTTTATGTCACAAATCACATATCTTATTTTGAGCTACATTTCTTAAAGAGGTGCTATTGGTATTTCAAGTAACAGACATGAAAAATTATATTTACCATTGAATGCAAATGTTGGCAGTAGTGGTTCTGGAGAACTATAGATTCAACATTTGAACACTGACTGTTAGCAGGTATGGAACAGAAGTATTAGTCAGCCAATGGCCCTATCAATGGGAAAGGTTAAGCAAGTAGCTCGTTAAGATTTGCCTACTTGCCCCAACTTTTTTTTTCAGAGGTCCACAAATCAACTTCACTTTTTATGAATGCATGTTCTTGATTACAATTTCTAGTGGTATAGTGTAAACAAATTCAGCTTATTGGTTGATCAAAAGCCATTTATTCAGGTTACTTCCTTCTCATTATCCTTAACTAGTAACTGCTCTTTATGGTGTTATGCTATTGTTTCTGTTCGTTGATTAGCTGCTGACTTGCAAGCAAGAGCTGGGAAAGCAGACTGCAAGATGGTGACATGGACAATTTTAAGTGATGGGACTTTGAATGAACCCATTTCCACCTGTGTATTCCAGTGGATTTCTTTGAAGCATGCTTATGCTCTTACTTGAAAATACATTGGGTACTTCTTCAACCTAATGTTACCACCACTTTTCTTATCATTTTCTAACATGCTGCTTGTACCTCATTTTTGTGCACATCTTCAAGGAATTATCCAAGTAAGTTACAAGGACTACAGATTTTCAGGAGGAATCCTAGGCAAACAAGGCACTTAGGTCAAGATGTCTGAGCCACAGCCAGTGAGACCCTTATTTTTGTACGAGTTGAACAAACTATAATTTTTTACAAGTCTGAAGATTAAAAATTCCAAAGGCTTTTCTGAGAAAATGATCATTTAATATAAAAGATCAGTTCCTGGTTTGTTTGCACTGCTGATTTCCGGATGAGACTCCAATCTATTAGTGAAGTAGTAAATGCTTCCTCAGCAACCAACCATTGATGTTTTGAAAGGAAATCAAAAGCACCGTAAGGCTGTTGAAGAAAATGGTTTGAAAGGAAAAGAGTGAAAGATCATACCATTCCTATGAGAGCTGCAAAAGTTTGTAAAGATTACAGCTGAGGAGAGAGATGGGCCAGAGAGAGATCAAGGAGTCAAGGAGAAGATATCTGCCTGTAGAGCTTTGTCCTGGCATGCCTTCTTCCAGGCTCACAACTTAAAACTTTGTAGAGGTTGATCTGTTAGGGGCGCACAACCAAAGGTGGAATTGTGGAAGAGAATGGATAAGCAAGAGATATAATGGATAAGATGGAGAGGGCACCTGTTGACCATGGTTATTACCTTGGACTTTGTATGGCTTTGACAGGATTTAAACAGCTTCTGGACATGTGAGAGAAGTACTGCGTGCGGCTATTGTTCCTAATGTAGGGTTTCAACATTAGCTGAGCATCCAGGCACTTTGCTGTGGGTGCATGCTGGAGTTGCCCTTCTGATGCAGTCTCTCAGCTGATCCAACTTCTATCTTTACTCCAACCATAAGCTCACTACAAAAACAAAAGGAAAAGCATTTGTATTCCACTGTGCACGTTGATAGTAATTTTATGGATGTAGCAGAGCACTACAGAAAGAAACAGGTATGTGGAACGTTTAGAAGGTATTAGTTTCTTGCATTCTCCTTTTTTGAACCACACTGCAAAAGGTTGTAGTGGGAATAGCAAAGGAAAGAACTTGCAAACTTCACAAAAATCAAAGCCTACAGCTTGTGCTGGATGGGTATATTTGGCACACATCTGTGATTATGAAATACTTTTAAATTGCTTTTGAACTTCATCTGTATAATGATTCATCCTTTCAATTTCCTTTTCTCCATCCAGAACATCCGCCACTAGCAAACCAACCAGTTGTGATGTTTTACAATCCACATTTGAACCTACTTCTCAAAACATTGCACACTTCCTTAAATAAGCAAACTCGTCTCGTTTGCACAAAGATAAGGTCAGTCTTGGGAGTGAAAGATGGATCAACAACCCACTTTGGCAACCATCTTTGAAACGAGTCAAGAAGCAGTGGCACAAGAGACTTGTTAAACTCCAACATCATGTTGCAGAAATGCAACATCAACAGGCAGCTCAAGTGTTTCTGTACAAACAGATACTGCACAGCCTTGATTTGGTAGAGCTAAGCCCATTACAGAAATTAGGCATATGCCTAAAGATGGAATTACTTACATGACTGAGGTTAAGATGTGCTTAAGTGTTTTGTTGTGTATGGGCCTACACACTACATCTGTGTTTGTATTAAGAGGAAAAGCTGTTCTACAAGACATGCGGGCATTTTAAAATGTATTTTTGTTCTGAACTGGAACAGGAAGTTTTACACTGAAATGAAATTTAGGAAATCTTTAATTCCAGAAATCTTGTAATTGAGCATACTTGAAACATTGTGTGTCAGTACTGTTGAAATGCTTTGTGACATTAAGATTGAAACATTACATGCCCACATATGGTACTAAATTAATTAGAACCAACTGTCAACTAAGCATGCCGGGATTGCCTGTATTGTGCATTGCCCACACCCTGGATGCAGGAAGACCTCTGGTCTGATCTAGCTTCTTGGCTGAGGTGCAATGCTCCAGGAACACTGTTCAACCTACCACAAGGATATTCATCTGTGTATGATGTAGAACTGGACATACTAAACCCAGCTCAGCCCAATGGCTTTATGGAAGGACACCTCAAGTTTCTTGTACCAGGTCTTGTTGTGACTGCTTTAGGGACACAGGGCGCAGACCCTGTGCTTGTGCTTGTAGATGGTTTGGGTCTTTCTTGGCTTACTGGTTCTGGCCCAGATGTATCCAAGATGACTCCACACTGTCCAGGAGCCATGGTAGTTTGGGCACAGCACAAATAGATGACCCACATTTGCATCTGATGCTGTATATGACAAGTGAACCCCTATGGAGCTGAAGGCTGCAGCTCTGCAGCAACCAGTCTGGGAATAGGACTGAGCTGCAGGTACTTAAACTTGAGCTTTTTGCAGAAACTTTAAGGTTCCCTTCCCTGAGTTCCTCAATCCTGTCCTGCCAGAGACATCCCGGTACCTGGGTACTGCAACCTGGCTGCAAACTTAAAAGCTAAAATGACCAAATCAAAGCTAAACATGTATTGGTAACTTCTTAATGTTTTATCATAATCAATTGTGATTTTCTTGCAAAATTTTTCAGTGTTGTGGAATCAGCGTTCACTATAAGGAGACTGATGCTTCGGAAAAAATTCAAGCAGCTCTGTGAGTATATAGCAATAATGACAGACAAAGTCTTACCAGACTGAATATATTGTTTGCTTTGCCTGCCTCTAGACACAATGGTGGTTCAACAGGGAGTAGGTATTTGTCAATAGTCTCTGAAAGAGGATCAACTCTTTCCCCTGATCTTCAAGTTACAGTGCCTCTTCTCCATCCTTGCCTGATGGACCAAGTAAGATTGATCCCTGGGCCAAGAGCTTTTCTTTGGGTTTGTGGGGTCAAGAGGACAAAGTGGTACTGAAGCTGTTGCTTTCAAGAAGTCTCTTTCTTTGGCCCAAACACACAGCATGTGTGGTGAAATTTATTCGGACAAATATTATATCTGAAATGGCTTTTCCTGCTAAGTCTCTGGGTAGTTATGGCTTTGCTTTGTTGTCCTGTCCTTTTGTTTTAGGGTTGAAATAAAAATCTAAGGTCCACAGCCTTAGAAACTGTTTCTATCAGCTTCTGGGTCAGCTGGCTATGGCAGAGTTGCCCAGTCCCATTTTTTGAGAGGTGTTCTTTCATCCTTTAAGGCCTCAACTCCAGCAAAACACAAAACAGTAAACTTTGCTGGAGCTTGTGAATATTGTCTCTTATGAAAGACCCCATTGCCCTAGCTAGGCTCCTCTCTTACACTTTCTGTAAGAAACTAGGGTAGCCCCTAGTACCCAACCAAATCAGTGGTTTGGATTTAAATGTCAGTAAGAATAGGAGTGGGAACCTGGATTGTGTGTCAATAACAGAAAATACGATTGTTTTCTTATTTTGCTGCAGTTACTACATGTTATATTTCTGTCTGAGGAAGTAAAACGCCTTCACAGACGAGTACAAAAAGATGTGTGTTTTTCCAAGCCTGAACTCATGTGCTTGTATGTACTTTACTGTAATCTGACACATGTTGTAAGAAAATATATTTTAGGTAATTGCCAGTGGCAGCCGCATATTCTGAAAGAAAAAAGTGTATTCAACTGTATACAGTGTGTATAATGATTTGCAGCAGTATCTTCCATAAAAGTAAAGGATAATTTAGCACTTGAAAGCCAGGCCTTAAAAGCAAAAAAAAAAATCCTTTTCTTTTTCTGTGCCTAGGCTAGGATTCATCTCACCTCACTGTAGACACATATGGTAGGGCCCATCACCCCAAGCTCCCTTTGCAGTCAATACAGGGAACAGGCACTTTTAGGCCATGATTCATCTGACCTATTTACATGTCTGCTGTAGGAGGAGATGAATCACTGCCTAGACGAGATCTGTGCGGAGGATAAAGGGAGCCGACGATGGCCAGCTCAGATGTAGATGATTATACAAATCTACAGTTTGAATTTAGGCTTGCAGTTTGGAACAACAATTTTTCAGAGAAGAGTTAAATCTTGTAAGCTACATTTTTCCCAGCAGAATGTGTGTATGAATATATATATATATGTTTTTTTTCTTCCTGCAACAGAAACAGTTTCAACAATATCTTATGAAAACTGGCCCTATATCCCCTTCTCCAAATGTTCTACCATCTGAAGAGCTGCCACTTCATCTCTCTCTGCCTCTGCCCTTCTTTCACACATACAGACGTGTACACATGCCATATTTCAGAGCTGGGCCCTCTGAATTTTCAGCATTAACTCAAAATATACTCGTCTGTGTGTGGTAGCCAGAGCTGTTACACAGAGATATATTAGCTGGTTTTGGTTTTTAAAAAAACCCAAAGCAAAATATGCAAACAAAACCACCAAATGAACATTTCTGAAATTTGCTTCTGTTTAAAAATACCATTTTTAATTCATCTTTTCTGCTAGAATCTGCTGTACTCTGCCTGCAGCCTTAGTGAGGCAGGGCATCATAGGAAGGGGAATATTGGTTTCTGGGAGACAAGAAATGATGGAAAGGGAAGGAGGAGACAGACCTGATCATCTAAGAAAGGGTGCAAGTTGCGAGTGAAGCTCTGAGAAGACAAGAGGGAGGTGATGTTGTATTATTATGTATAGAAGATTAGAGTGGAAGGAGTCTGGTTTACGGGGAGTGAGGAGAATGTCCTCGCAGGTGGGCTTGTGCACGTACTATAGTATAATATCCCAGTTCATCTGAACATGGGCCATCTAGACTGCAAATGGCACGAGGGTAATATATTAAAAAGGGAAGAAAAGATGCTGCCCCGTTGCAGGGCTTTGCAGTGCTCAGCTGCTGCCGAGGAGTGCTTGGTGTAGCTACAGCAGAGTAGTGGTAGGCAAAATATCCCTCCCATCCAGCCGCTGGCACGCAGCACAGCAACCCGTTTATGCGAGCACCTGGTTGATCAGTTTGCTTGTGACAGATCTTGGCACTCCCTCCCCTCTGGCTGTAAAGCTTTACTGACTCTTGTGTTTTGCAGGATTATTTTTTTTTCCCCACAAACTCTTGTCTGGCATGGGAGGACTTGGAACAGAGCGATACTGGCTCCGGCGACAACAGGAAACCGCGTTTTGGATAACCCATCACAGTGCAAGCTTTCCAGCCGTTTAAGGGCTTTTCTGTGGGGGGTGGGAAGGAAAGGCTGTCCATCATCCAAAGTCCCATTGCAGTCAGTGGGAACAGCGCCTGTGACCGCAAAGGTCTTTGGCAAAGACCACGAGCATCTGAAGGCTGCCTCTGAGAAACGGGCATGGGCTCGCAGCTCCCCATGGGGGTGCAGCCCAGAAGTGGCTTCAGGAAGAGAGAGTGCTCTTTTACTGGTCATCTCAGTGCATCATTCATTAAATATAAGGCCCTACAGGAAAACCAGGGCTTCGTGTTCTCCGTGCCCCTCCTGCATCAGCCCTGACGTCAGTCGTTTCAAACCATGGAAGTTAAATTGAGGCCAGCACAGTCTAATAGGCAAGGGAGAGCAAATGCTAAGAAGTCAAGGTAATGAGAAAATACCTGCCATCTGGAGCTGTCATAAGCACGAATTTACATCACTCCCCGCAAAATAAATAAATTACATCCTGCGCAGCATTACTCTCCCTGGATGCAAAGCCCCGCTCCCGCTGCTGCCGCCAAAAATTTTGGCCTCCCCTCTTCCTGCGTGATGGTCGGCTTCTGCCGAAAGCCCCAGAGAGATGCACGTGGGCAACGGGGAGACCTCCTGGCAACCCCTGGCTGTTGGAGCGCGACGGCTGGAGCGGGATCTGTTCAGCTGCATCCGCTCGCTCCCTTCCTTCCTCGCCCTGACGGAAAGTTTTCCTCCCGGCTCTGACAGCGCCGCAGCCACTCGGGGAAGCACATGACTTCCTCGGGAGACGGCGTTTCTTATTTGTGTTGCAGGCCTCCAGCAGGCATGGCACCGAGGCAGTATTTATATCAGTTTTTGTAACGTCGTCGCGGCAGTTTTTGTAATTTTGGGAACCGGAGCGCTGGCTGGAAGTGGAGAGAGAGGCACAAGGCACACCACGCCACGTAGAAATCAGGGTGGAAGGAAAAAAAAAAAAAAGGAAAAAAAAAAGGAAAAAAAAAAAATCAGCAGCCAGCCTCCTCCCCCAGAAAGCTCATTGTGTTTCTGGGTGCCAGGGGGGGCCGCTTGCCCTCCAGATGGTTACCGCAGGGCCCATCTGCCTAAAAGTGAGTCAATGGAAATTGCAACTCAGGAGGCCAGCAACAGGACCAGATCTGTCCTGGCAGGATGACTGCCTCCTGGGGCAGCAGGGCAGGGGAAGGGGAGTCCCCCAGCTATGGTGGCTTTCCATGCCACATGCCTAAGACTCCACTAGGGAGGCAGGAGAAAGCCTGAGCCCTTTTATTGTGGGACTGAGCGGTGCAAATAGCAAGGCTGCCTCCAAAACCTCTGCAGCCTAGTGCTGTGCCTCAGCAATCGGCCCTAGCAGGCTCATTAGCCAGGCCACAACGCTGTGCTGGTGCAGCCATTCTGTTCCCAGGTCCCTGCTGTGGAGGTGTCCTGGCTTGTGTGGAGCTACCTTGCTGTGGCCTCTGCTGGGAAATCCTCAGGGAATCGGGATGGGGTCCTGTCTTCCAGATGATTTACCTGCTGCTTCCTGTAGCAGGTATGTGACCCGATTCTCTCCTCTTCTGCCTCCTGCCTTAACTTCAGTGGTGTTAAGCCAGAAGATGTTTGAGGCTTCACTGATGCTATGGGTCTGAAAAGCCATAGCTGACTGAAAGAGAGTAGAGTCCTCTTCACCATGTTTCCTCGCTCCTTCCTCTACCCTGCAACTGAAGCAAGTAAGTGCCCACAGCTCATCCCTCTGTGTAAGAGGGAGTCTCTGCTGCCCAGACATACTCCTGGTGAGTGACTTGTACCTCTGCCAAACAGCAGTGGCTGGCAGGACAATGGGCCTGAATTTGTCCCTGTACACTGCTTTTTCTCCATGTAACTTCCATGTAACTACTGATCTGTGGAGTTACATCTGGCAGAGGAGGTGTCACACCATCCCCAGTTATCTTCCAGCTTGGTGGAACTGAAGAGTTGGTGTGGAGCTAAATTGCTTCCACCAGGCACTGCCCAGACCCCAGTTGTTTGGTGATGCACATTTTATCATGGACAAGAGCTGAAGGTAATTTGCCCCAAACATAGCTGTTTGGGGCAAAATACCTTCACCTTCCTGAACTGCACAGGGTCTTAAGAAAAAGGTCCTCTCCACTGGGTCATCAACAAGGTCTCCATGTCCACATGCCCCACAGTCCTCTGAAAGGACTGCCGTGAGGCGTCTCCCTGGAAGCACTCTCAAAACCAACACCTGAAGTTGCATGGCAGGCACCCTGCAGTAGAGACACCATTAAAGACTGGCAACATGGTGAGCACAGCTTAATGGGTTGTGTCCCTCAGAAATCCCTTCCAGTCTCCCAATTCATATGCCCTTGTGCCGTGAACAGCTCTACTCTGCCTTCCTAAAAACTGAAAATTTAGCATCCAAGTTGTATTCTTAGCCCAAGCACCTCGAAATGCTCCCAGTGAGCAGGGCTGGGGTCAGGCAGGAAGGGAGAGGGAGGGAGGAAGCGAAGACGTGCCCATAGTGGTGACAGATCCTCCGAGGTGGTGTGGGGAGGGCTTGGCAACCCTTTCAGCACTGTCCTATTGCAACAGGAGGGAGGAGGATATACAGAGATTACTTAAAAGCCCCCAACTTTCTCCAGGCCTCTATTGCACTTCAGAAATTCTGCAAGAAAAGGAAAAAAAAAAAGACTATCTGAAAAGAAGGTACCCTTGCTAACTAAAAAAATTCCTTTAGGCGCTTACTGCTATTAAATAATTGCTACATTTTGAATTGCTGTTTTCAGGAGCTTTGGGAAGAAGTCATGTTCTCAGCCATGACTATTTTCTTAGAAGGGTGGCATGGCTTTCATTGCTACATGCTTATGCTGAAATAGATGTGAAAGCAGTTTTGACTAGCTCAAAGTCTCTGATCAGCCTACATCTGAGATTTACCTTAAGGTCATTAGTGGGAGAGAAATAAGTGGATAAGTGCTTTTTTCTTTCTTCTTTTTTTTCTTCCCCTCCCTTCCCCCTTTCCTCTTTCTCTCTCTCACACTCTTTTTCAAAAGTGGATTTTCTGGGTGCAGGAATTAACCCTTCAGATATTGAGCGTTTGTGTGCATAGGAACAAAAATACAATTCTCCAGTAATCATCCACAGACTGTTGTAGGCTGTAGTATTTGGGATGATTGCAGTATGACTTAGAATGTCATTTTATTAGTGGGATGTATGTGTGTGATGCAGTTTCTGGAAATAATTTGCTAATTTGGATTCAATAATGCCATTTTGAAGGGTGGGAGAGTGAATGATTTTCCAGTTCTTTTACCTGAAACTCCCTAATATTTTTAATGCCCTGTTTCTCCTAGGCAAATACTTCTGTGCTAGGCTTCCCTCTCCTTCTCCCCCCCCCGCTTCTTCTCTTATTCATGTGTTTTGACAAACACAAAATGCCTTCCAATCCTTAGAGAGCTGTACTCCATCATTAGACTGATGTTTTCTGCCTCTCAGTTTTTATTTATGTGAGTCTAAAAATGTGTAGCTCACTGGCACCCCATACTGTTTTTGATTTCTCCCATCTTACATGTGCCACGCCGGCTTATGTTTGCTTTTTCCTTGCACTATTTCTCTCTTTCATGGTGTTACAACATTTTAAATACAGGATGACTGAAACAACGGACATAGAGAAGAGGCCTCCTCTGAATGGGAGAAGAGCCCTCCCACCAAACAACTCCAATGATGAAGAAAATGAGGTCCCTGAGATGGAGGCTTTTGGATTGATACCTAGAGGATTTAATCCAAAAGGTACAGCATACAATTAAGACATGAGTCTATTTTACATCTGCTATACTCACCTCTACCCAGGTCTTAATTAAAACCAAACCATTTTTTGCTTAGTATTGTAGTTCATGTCCCACAAGCTTCTAGAGCTCCTCGCATGTTTTGATCTCAGATAGCTTTTTGTTGCTGCTTAGGGACAAAACTTACTATAAACACCCATGTGCAAGCAGTGTCACCTGAGGTTAAGGGTAGGGAAAGTGAGGAGCAGAGAAGTTGTGTGACCTGTTTTCAGCTTGAACTGTGGGAGTGGTTAAAAAAAAAGGAAAGAACGGGTTTTCTGATTAAGAATGTTGATCACAATCACAGAGTCACTGTAGAAACTGCTGGCTTCAGGCATGGCTGTGGCAGCACTGGGGTGAAAGGGGCAGGAGGACCGTGCCCCTCTTAATGGCCCCTCAGGTTTGGATGGCCTTAAATTGACTGTAAAATTACTGCAAAGTGCTGGCTGGCAGGGATAACTTTTGCTAGCTGTTCAACTTTCTCATAAAAATGACTGCAAAACTAAAAGGAATGCCCATAGTTTTAATTATTCTCCTGTGAAAAGTATTTTGATCGTTTTGTTGGGAAGTCAAAGCAGTATCATGTAGGGCATGGGCAAGTCAAATCACTTTCTCAGTGCCAACTTTGCGGAATGAACCTGAAAAAAATTAGATAAGATTTGGTTTAAAAGAAATCAGGATTGCCTCCTGAATGAGTTACCAGACAAATGATGTTGACTTTTTGGCTTGTTTGAAATGAACAGCAGAACTTGTTGAACGTGGCAGCTCAGGGTAGCCAGATGTAATAATACTTAATGCTTGTATGGGACTTTTCATCCAGGGTTGAAAGAGTGCTTAATAAATGTGGGCAAGCATTAATTACTGCATTTCAGACATCAGGAAACATGCAAAGAGATTTTAAGCAACAAGGTCAAATTTTTATTGCAAAGCTTTATTTCTGTCTTCCTAATCATGTGCCTTCACCACCACACCCCCACACCCCCATTTTAATGCAGACACATTTCTTCAAAAAGTGTTTCTTTTAAAAAATGCCTGAAAAAACCAACTGGCATGTTAAGACTGTAGAAATTTGCTTGAATGTTTTCAAACCACCCTCTAGCTCTGGGGCAAGTATGTGTGTTTAAATTGTCAAATGTAATGCAATACAGGTCCTGACTAGATATCATTTCAAAACCAGAATGCTCACAGAAGCTGAAGATGTGTAAGGATGTAGGATACCTTAGAAGGAATGCAGCCTGTAGCTAAAGCCCACCAGTACCAGGAGAAAGGCTCCTATTGCTTTTTGATGTGCTTCACATCAGGCTCTGAATGAAGCGTGGTACTGGTGGGTGGGAGCCTCTTGCTTTTCAGAAATGCAGTGGAAACTGAGGAATGTCAGGTCAAGTGAGTTGAGGCAGGAACCCAACGTGAGTTTAAGGTGATGCTGCTGGTAAGGAAAACAGCCCTTATCCAAAACAAGGGTTTGTGTGGCCATAGGATAAACCTGGCTATAGGACTGGTGTGGCTGAAAAATAAATTTGTGCATAACAGCAAAACTCTCCTTGTACACCTGGATCAGCTCTGCTGTGCAGTTCAGTTCTGCAATGCCTGTAGCAGCAACATTCAAGGGGTAACCTGAAGGGAAGGGACAGCAGCAGCGTTCCTGTTTCAGGGCACATCAGCTGTGATGTAAGCCTGTGATACCAGCTGATGTAAGTGCGGTCCCTGGATACGCTGTTTTGGGGTAGGATGCTTAAGTCACTTGTCAGACCACGTTAAGTGTTTATGGTCCAATGCAGCTCAGACTGGGACTTACATTCAGGAGCTCTGACGGTGTTGTGCTTGGGGAATAAAGTGAGGGTCTGCAGGCAGAGCAGGGCGGCAGAGTACAACCAGGGCCACCAGCACATCCTCATAGGGGGCTGCTTGTGCCGCCTCCTTCCCCTGCGCACACCTCTGCCCTTCTGGGTTGTCCAAATCTTTTTGTAGTGGTTTCCACATTTCATTGGAAGGACATAACACACTGAAAAAAAAGCATGCAAATGCTTTTATCCTTGCTGTTACAACTGAGGTGTTTTCTAGCTTTTGGGGGTAGGATTGGACATCTGCTCTAAACATTCAGACGTCAGTGTTGTCGCCTGTGTCAGATCATAGGCAACACAGAGCTATGCAGCGAGTGGAGGTGAGGGCACAGGCTCTCCGGAGAGACAGTGGTTGTCACTTCCAGGGTGATCCGTATCCTTCTCTCAGCTCCACTGGCTGCAGCAACCAGCCACCAACTGGCCATAATAAGACGTTTCATCCCAGGCTCGCATCATTTAGATGCTTAAATTTAACTGAATCTTGCCCTTGATCTCCGCAGTGTAGGTGTCTACAGCTGAGCTAGTCACCCTCGTTTCCCTTGACAGCCAACAGAGAGAAACAGGCATTTTTAGGGTGTGATTCATTTGACCTATTTTAGCTACTACTCTGGGATGAGGTAAAACCCTGTGCTTGACTAGCTCTCTGCTGACACCCACTTCTACGCCGCTGAATCACAGCCGGAGTGAGCGGTGGAGGCTGCTGGGGACAGCTGCCTCCCCAGCCCGGTCAGTGGGATGCCTGCTGCAGGAGCCCAGCTTGCTTGCGGGAGGAGATGCTCAGTGTGGAGGACGAGCAGCCCCTGAGCACTTCTTCAGCGAGAAGCCTATGTCTCCGTGAAAACGCCCCGTGCTGTGTCCTCCCCCTGGCTCTTCCTAGCCAGCTCATCTCACCGCAATGTGTTACGAGTGGGCCTGGCGCTGGCAGCCGCTGGGTGGGAGGACGTAGCCCTGCAGCCCCATGGTCTGCAACCTCCCTCCATGCACCTTCTCTGCAAAGTTCGGCGACTTGCCAGGGAGTCGTGCTTGCCCCGCTAGCAGAGCAATGGGCACCTCCTGTGGAAACTCACACTATTCGTTTTACACTCCAGAACCTTTTCTCTCTGGTCTTCCAAGAAAGCCTGATGTTTGAAGGCTATTCTTGTTATTTGAAAAACAGCTCAAGCTTGTGCTCATTTATTTCCATGCAAGCTTAACATTGCAAGAGCTTTAAGAAAGCATCAGACTGCTGCCTCTCCTGCAGCAGACCAGGCTATGGGCAATCTGTCAAATGGATCTGACTTCAAAGGAGCCCTCGATGGCCGCCTGTCCCCCACAAACAGATGAGCAGCGACATGCACAACACCTGGACCCTTCCTTCTGATCATACTCTGGTGGTGGTGTTCACAAATTCCATTGCCCTGCTTATATTTTGTCTTCCGTAATTACCATTGCTGTAATTAACAGAGGCTCGTTCACAGGTTATCTTCATCTGGCAAGCTCAATGCACACTTTAACACTGAGAGTTAATGTGAGAGTGAAATGTGTTTTCTGCAGGTGTGTATGGCTGTGTTTTGACAGGAGCCTTGTAAAGTCCTGAGATAAAATGAAGCAAATGCTGAAGTGATGACCCAGGGCGCCTTAGCTTTGCAGCTCCTTGGAGGGGCTAATGTGAACAAAGGGCAGGGTCACTGTCGCCTTTTATTTCAGAACATGAGATGAAAACACAACAAACCCTGAACTCCATTTTTGTGCCTCCTTGGAAGGAGGGAGAAGCTGAGCCAAATTTACTGATAGCTTCACCCCTTGTAGAGCCCCAAGTTATGCAGCTTTTACATGCAGTGCTTTCAGCCTGGGAGAGAAAACAGGAGACAAAATGGGAGACACTCTCTCCTGCCCCTGCTTGATCCTTATCTGGAAAATTCCTGCCTCACATAATTTAATTGTGAGATTTCTCAGCATTATTGTGAGTGAGAATTGGTAAGATTTGCAGGGAGGGAGGCAAAGACATGCCCCACTCCACAGAGGGGCAATGAAAATGATTTCTGAGCAAGCTGCATTTAATGTTTCACACAGAAAACACCTCTGTAACTTCAGTCAGCGATAAAGCCAGAGAGGATCTACAGAAGTTACTCCAGAAGCCCGGCAAATTGAGCAGAGAATATCAATAACATCGCCATGGGACTTTAAGCCTGCCTCAGGATTGAACAGGGTATTCCAGTCTTTCTGCAGATTAGGGTTGGCAGGAGGTGGATGGTTTGGGGTTCAGTTCTCCAAGGCTTTTCCATGAAAGGATCATCATCTTGCTGTATCCTCAGGCAGTTTCCTTTCCTTCTGTTTCCCACAGGGCAGCACTAGGCAGGTGATGGTGACAATGCACGAGCAGGACCTGCTCCTGCAGCCCTTATTTCCCCCTCTCTGTTAGCTGTCCCCCAGAGCCCGGACTGGGTGTCTTGGCTGGGGCAGGAGAAGGACCATGGTGGCATCCAGGGGAGTTGCTGCCAGTGGGGCTCTGCTGATGTCTTGAAAACATCTCTGCAGACAGGCAGGGCTAATGCACAGGCTGCTGTAGCCTGGAGGCTACACACTTGAGACAGAGCCAGTCTCCAGGCAGTGTCTCCCTGCCTTCAAGGAAAAGCAGAGTACAAAGCTGCTGTCTGAGCTTCTGTGAAATGGGCCGCATTCAGCTTTTGATGACTTGACTATCCGACTCATTTGTTGAGCGCATCATTCCTGCTCACAGTGTACCCAGCAGCAGGCCAAATTAACCACAATCACAAGCACACACAGCTCCACCAGCTGCTGTAAATGTGTACCTCTTTTTGCCAGGCATGAGTTTGGCTCTGACATTGTCAGTATGAAACGCAGACATTAGCTGGTTTCTAACTGTCAGCACCTGGAAAGACAAGCTGAGAGCTGCAAATCAGGCTCTACTCTTCCATCTCTCTCCTGGTTGTGAGCAGTAATGATCCTGCTGGCAGAGGTTTCATGACTGTCTGCCTGAGCGTATAGGCAAAAGAATGATGTCCAGTTTGTTTTCATGTCGTTGCTTGTTGTGTGAGAAGACTCCCATTATGAAGACTCCCGATATGGTACAGTCATGTAGCTCATGGTGACTGCAAGTGCCTTTGGCTATCCCAATGCCACCCCACGTTGTCATTAGCTGAGCAGACTAACTTCTAGCAGTGGTAGGCTATAACACTTTAGACAGCCCTAATTTGAAGTAAGCAAAGCTTTGCCTGTGCATGTTATAGATACCTACTGCTGTTTGCCTATAACTCTATGCTGTAATTATATACTGTAATGTTATATTTAGTTTTCATAAGAAGACACTAATAGCAGTGGAGGTGTACTGAGAAGCTGAGTCTAGACACATACAGTACACCAAAACCTTATTTAATACAGACAATCCAAGCTCTCAGCTGAATGTAAGATCATTAACTGCCTCTCAGGCTCCTCAGCACTCAATAGTGGTAGTGCTCTGCAAATATTAATGTATTTAAGCGTCACAAAACCCCTGTGACTTTGCATTTGACAAATGGAGGTCTGCAAGAAGGGAGACATGAAGCCACAGCTGTCAAAGGTCCACTGGTTGCACTGATAAACCTGTGACAATGAGGCCTAGACTTGCAGAAAGCCAGTGCCAAGTGAAATATAGAGCCCAACTCTCCTTGGGGACATTCAGCTTTCCACCCACAGCAATCTACCCTTTCTGCAATTGCTTTTGCCATTCACTAGAAGACTTGAAAACTCTGTGAAAATGGCAGGTGGACAGAGAAGCGTCAGTCCTTAAGTCCCTGCTCAGCCAGGAGGATGTAAGCCTCAAATAGATCAAGCAGGCGCCACTGCACAATGCTCCTCGATGAGGCAACACTGGGGAAGGGGAGGCAGGGCCTCTAATGATGTTGATATCAATATTGACATGCCAATATACTGACTCCTTCCCTCTACGTTCATTACGTGTCTTTGCAGATTACCTGCGTGTTGTGGACATTTACATGTTCAAGGATCCCCATGAGATTAACAAGCAGGAGCACCACACTGACAAGTACTACAACCCCAAGCTGATAGTGCGTCGGGGACAGCCTTTCCAAATCCAGATTGACTTCAACCGACCTTACAGGCCAGAGACGGACCAATTCTGGCTGGAGTACTTGATAGGTAAGTGCTTGGCAAAGGCTGTGTCATATCAGCAAAGTTGAAGAGTCTCTCATAAATAGGAACAAAGTGGTACTCAATGGCTGTGTCTTTTCCTGTTACAATTGATAAACCATAAAAACAGGCTTAACCATGGGCAAGGAAGTGCTTTTCTAAACAGGGTCTGAATCCCTACTCAAGAAACTCAGCAGATTTGCTTCTGAGAGAAGAAGGAGCAGTATTTGGGGCTTTCTGTTTAACAATCAGTTGTACTTCATTGAGCTTTCAAAGTTATCTCTGGTTAATGCTGTATGGCAATGCTGAAAGGTAGGTGGAGCAGGAAATATCTTTCATTAGCGTTTAGGAGAGGAGGGAGGAGGAGTCTGTTGTTTGAGGTGGGAGAGATGATATGTGCGAGCTGGGTTAACAAAATATTGAGTAGGCAAGGGGGGGAAATTATGCAGGCTGGAAGAATAGGAGGCCTTGCAACTTCGCAGCCTGCATTTACAGCTAACTTGTAACAAGGGAGAAGGTTCAGAGACTGTAGGTTTGGATCAGAGACTTACTCAGGGTGACATCAGAAGCTATCTTGATTTTCTGCAAAGGGAGTAAGAAAGCATTTTTCCTCTCACTGAGAGATTTTCATCAGAGACTCAGGTCCTAATGTATGTGCTGGCTTTTTGAAGGTACAGGACTAGAGAAAGCCATGACCTCACTAGAGAAGGGGAAAAGCAAGAGACAGAGTGGAGCTTCCCACTATGCTCCAAAGACGGCCCCGCTGGATGCTGCTCCCTACATCACAGCTCTGGGAAAGCCTCAGCTTTGTCTAGAGTGATCTGGGAGTTTCTGTGTTAAGACATCAATGTGCCCCTTATAAACTCTTTAAAGCAGGTTTGAATTGATGTTTTAATTTACTTTCCTCAGAGATGCAGTTCCGAAATTTGTAACATTGATTTTTTTCCACCGTTGAACTATGATGATGTGGCCATTTATTAGATTTGTTGCCTTTTAAACCTAGATGGGCGTTTATCTCTTAAACGTATGTGCAGTGAAAAGGTTACTGTCTGCACATTTTTTTTCATGGGTCTCTTCTTTCTAATTTAAATTAGGGTTGGGAGGCATGTTATGACAGTCCAGTGAATGATTGGCTGAACAGCCACGAGTGCCTTTAAAAATTTAATATGCATAAATATCATTAGTTCTTTTGGGATTTAATTAAATTCAAGACTGTTCCCTTAATCTTTATATGTTTAAAACAAACAGCTGTAGCAAGAAGAAGTGGAAAATGGAACATTTGGTTTTTATTGAATTGTGTGCAGTTTGCATTTGTTTTAATCAGATATTCTATATTGGAAGAAGAAATTTAACACTTCTTCTGACATTGCACAGTCCACTTAGGAGAACATATTCGCTAATTTTCCTGTTGCTCTTTCCTAATACATCTACCCATGGTCTGTACCATGAATCTCTAAGCGTGGATGAAAACCCCTTCATACTCAGATGCAGTAGGAAGGGGGTTAAATGCAGCCTGAGCCAGGGGAGACTGCAACAAACTCAGCTCTGAGTGGTGACTTTGGAGTCAGCCCTGAGTCTGTGGTTGACTTTCCCTCACTGTTCTTCACTGTTGCTCTCCTTTCTGTGAAATGGGAACAGCAGCACGGATGTCCTACGTGTGGTGGCTGACAGCTGAAGGAATGTGCTGTGTATACAGGATAGTATTCAATGCTATTGCCCTCCCCTGCTTTTTAAGTGTCTGCTTCTGTGAACACCACTGCCCTCTTGCTACAAGGAATTTAGCTCACAGAGATTCAACTGGGAGAAGAGATGTTCAAGCTTCTCTTACAGGAACTGGTTAATACTCTGTTCTCCACAAATGTTTCTCTTTATGCACATGTGGTGAAAACACAGTACATTTGTTCTCAGAGGCTAGCAGAAAACAGAACAAAAATAGTCCATAAAGGAGAAGGAAATTATCCAGAAATTATCTGCTTGATTCTTGCTACTTCTCCTTTTAGTGGCAGGTCCAGTATTTAATGCCCTGAAGGGGAGAAAGAGGAGATTTCTTGTACTTAGGAAAGGGCACTGAGTGCTCAAGGTTCCAGTGCTGTGCTCTCAAACCTTTTGTGATGGGAAATGTGGCCATTCATACCCAGGTTTGTTCTGTTTGTCTGTCTGAAAGGCAGGTATTCGCTTCTCATAATGCCAGTTGCCTGAAAACCAGAGCCCAGTCCAAAACCTGTTGCCTAGGCTGCCTCTGTCAGCAGAGGAGGGAGGCAGGCACCTCCAGGTGGCAGTTTCGCCCTGCTGTCTTAAAATGGGATGAACTCTCTTCTGGGCATATTTTTCCTTCCTCCATTGACTCTTCCTGATAGACCAGAGTCTGACTTTAACATCACCAAAGACAGGGGAGGTGCATCCCACCCCTTGGTACTGTCAGGCAGGAGCTACACCTGGGGACTGGCTCAAGGCAACAGCCGTACAGCAGAGGCAGCTTGAGCTCAGAAAGTCTTTTTGCACTGAAACAACAGGTACATCTCCTAGGAAAGTGCTGAGTTTGAGGGATTAAAGTGATGGACACACAGAAATATTGGTAGATTGTTGTAATTGATTGTGTGCCTGAGCAGTAGCTTTCAAATGGTGCAGCGGAACTGTAGAATAACCGAGGTTGGAGGGACCTCTGGAGGTCTCATGTCCAAGCCCCTGCTCAAAGCAGGTCCAGCTTGCCCTGGTTGTTTAGGGCCTTGCCTATGGACAGGTTTTGAGTATCTCAAAGAGTGGGGAGGTTATCCCAAGCAATGTAGACCAGCTTGTCCACAAACTGTAGAATCTTTTATCTGTTTCAAGGTGTTATTCTCATAAGGTACAAAGAAACTTTTGGTAGGGATGGCTGGCCTTGACACCCAAGAAATTCAGCTGGAGCTGGGAAAACTCAACCTCTCTTTTTCAGGGCTGTACCTAAAGTGAGGACTGTTTATTCAGTAGCACTATATAAAGGTATTCAGAAATTATTAGTTCCCAGCATTTGAAATTTCCCAGCGTTAACATTAATCCATCACAGAATTTTTATCTATTAAAGACTAATTTTGCTCCTGAAAAATGTGACAACGATAATGGCTTGATCCTGAATGTGTGCAGAACAGTTCTATTTCCTTTATTCCCTAAAATTTAGTTTTACTTCTCTCTTTTTGCTCCTATTTTGCTTCTTTTACATCATTAAAAAGATGATTAATGAAGCAAGTAAAGCAAGTAGAGACTGCTTAATCCTTCTAATTGATAATGAATCAAGGGTACCTGGGACAAATGCTTCTTGCGTCATGTGAAACTAGGTCTGAAACACTCACAGAACAATTTTTAGTAACAATCCTTTTTAATCCATTTAAAGACCGTTCACAGTGAGTCTAGAATTCATGGGCTAAATTGCATAAAAAATATATATATATGTAAACATATAAATAATTCACCTCAATCTCTTAAAAGTCACTTTTGCTGATATTTTTCTGCCATGGTTCCTTATGACTGAAGTCCTTTCTGCTTCAACAGACTGCTTTCCGTAGAGTCATCATTGGTGAAACTGGCTGAAGTGCTAACATGTGAATTATTATAATTCAGTTTTGCACATAATGCTTCATTAAATTAGGACCATACTTGTCTGCCGAAGTATGGAAAACAATGAATATGCCAAAAAATCCACATGGAAAAATATCCACTTATAAAGAGTAATTGAATGTTATTCCAGTTCTGGTGCTGGACTGCAGCCTTGCCTCAGTACCTGTGGTTTGGGAGCTGCTCCATCACCACAGATTTCCTTCCTCGCAGCCCACTTCCTGGCTTTAATGAGAGGAAAGGTGAGCATCACTCTTTGGGGAAATACTCATTTTATTGGTCTGGGGTTGGGATGAAAGAGCTACAAGAGAACTGTAGATGCTGTGCTTACACCCAGTTCCCTACAACAAAATGGTTTCAGTTTGCTTGGACCCCCAGGGGGCCTGGAGGAGCCAAGGACTCCTTCACTCATCTTGATCTCTCCTGACTAGTGCCTTTGTGGTGATGGGGACACTTTGTGCTGCTCTTGGCTTTCCACGGTGTGGGGCTCAGCCTGTCCGAGCACAGCTCCTGCAGCTGGGACAGCCGGTTTGGCATGGGTATTGCAGAGTTTCCACAGTCACTGCTGTACTGGCAGTGATTTCTCTGAAAAGCAGATGTATGACTAGATGGGCTTATACAACCTTCAATCTTGCTTTTAGTAGTAGTTTCCTGTGCATAGCTGTAAATTCTAGAGTGGTTGATGAGTTTATGTTGTACATCCTTACTCTAATGATATATTTCCCCACATCCTCATAAATTGTTGTCTATTTGTATTTTCCTTAAATGGCTTCATAAATCCATTTATATTGGTCTAGCCCTAAATATTATTACAAACACTTTATTCGTTGGCATACCTCTGGAATGATCATAGACTCCAGTCTACTACCACCTTTCCACACATTGGACACCCACCCACCTGCCCATATGCAGTCCTCAGGCTTCTACAAATCAATGGCTTTGGCTGAGATGACAGCAGAGACTTACTGTTCCTTTTCCTACACTCTTCCCAAGCCTGTTCCAAAGGAATAGTTATAAAGACATGAAAGCAGCTAAGAGCATGAAGATGTTAGAGCTGATCCCATATGGCTTATTTAGGTGACACTGAATTTCCATTTATGGTCAGAGGGGCATCTGAACACAACTAAATAACTAGGGTCTGACTCAGGACACCCACAGCAGAATCAATGGACATCTTCATACTGTCCTACAGTGTGAACAGCCTTTCCCTTATTTTACAGCAGTGTTAGGACATGGGCTATTCCAGGAGTGTTGAGGTTTTTTTCCTTTTGTCAGACAGTAAACCTGTCTTAGTGGGAAGTATTGCTACCTCTGCTGTCACCTGTGCTCCTCAGCAGCTCTGGGGCAGGGCAGGTGGTAGCTAATAGAGTGGCTGGGACATGAGGTGTTCCTCGGCATCTCTGATAGGATGTTGAAGTGAG